TAAATCAACAAAAAGTATTAAAAAAAAGAACTATAGACAATAAAGTTGTGTTGTCTTGTGCCACTAAGTCTGTGGTAATTTGTTAAAGCAGCAATAGAAAACAAATACGCCACACACCTCAACTTTCAAGATTCTGCATAACTGAGAGGCTGAAATTATTCACTCAAGAAACATCTACTCAGTGCCAGGCACTCTACCTAGGTTAGGGCCCTCGTGGTCTTAATATTCTAATGAAAGTCAGAAAATAAACAATAAACAATAAATATTATGTAGAAGTGATAAATAGTATGTATTTAGAGGGGAAAAAAAAACAGGAGGAGAGTTAAATAAGATGGTCAGTGAGGTTCTCACTGAGAAAATAAGTAACGTGAAGGAGTGAGAAGGGAATGCGCCTAGCGTGTTCACTGACAAGTAAAAAGGCCAGTGTGGCTGAGGCAGGGTGAGCCAGAGTGGAGGAGGAAGAGGAGGTCACCATCTTTGAATACTATGGGTTTTGAACAGAGCAGTAAAACGCACTGATGTAGGTTTTAAAAGAATCACTCTTGTTGCTACTTTTGAAAATAAATCCAGAGTTGGGGATAACAAGAATGAAAACAGAGAGCCCTGTGAGAAGGGTGTTGGCAAAACCCAGACAAGAGATATTTTTGGCTCAGACCAAAAGGGTAGCTGTGGGATTGGTAAGAAGTAGTCAGATTCTAGACATTGCTGAAAGGTAGGGCCAGTGAGACTTCCTGACAGAATGGATGTGGAAATGCAACTACGAAATTTTTGGCCTAATCGAAGGGAGAGTGGAATAGTCACTAACAAACTGAAACTAGGTGTACAGCAACACTGAAGACAAAGATCGGGAATTCAGTTTGGGACATGGTAATTTTGAGTCCTGTTAGACATCTAAGTAGAGGAGATGAGTGGCAGTTGGATATTAAAATCTGTCCATCCAGAGGTCTGGGCTAGAGATACTTGTTTAGGAGCTGACATTTTAAATGATGAAACAAAAGAAGCATAGGAGATGGAGGTTGGATGAGGGATATGCAGAGACTTCCCCATGGGGATTAGAGGACGAGAAATGAGGGGTGATTGAGAGCTGTGAATTAGAAATGATTGCAACATGTGTAGGAAAAAAAATATGTATATATAACCTTAGAAAATGTTTTCTAGTTGTTGTTTTTTACATAGAGGGGGCTACTAATTCTCTACAAGAAAAAAAAACATTTTTACATCAAATCTTTTGGGTTTTTTCTAGTTAACTCTAACAAAATGCAATATAATGAGTCCACTTAAGTATCAGTATTTGCATTTCTTTTCTTATGCTTACAGCAGGAATACCATTTTCCAGAGCCCCATAAATCTCCACACATTGTAATTGAACATACCTATTTCTTAAGAAGTGAAAAATCCGTATGGTGACTTGAAACACGGGTAATTTTGTGGTTTGGGGAATGGAATTCCTAAGTGCATATATTGTAGTCTCTCCTCATCTGACAGGTTGTTCTAACTCTGCTCTTTTGCTGGAACTGGATGATAAGCACTTACTGTTTGACACTTTATGAAAATTTTCATATATATTCTCATTTATTCCTCATATCAGCCTTAGGAAGAAGATAATATTATTCTCATTTATAGATGAGAAAACTTAGGCTCAAAGAGGCAAAGCAGTTTACTCAAGATCATTGGACTGGACTCAAACTTAGAACCACCAGTTTTTTCCCTACTTCATTAAGGTACATGAGAATCTTTAAATTTATTCATTAAAAAAATGTCAATTCAAGGTAAGAAAAGGCAAAGCACATTTTCTAGGCTTGTTAGAAATGGATTCTACTAGCCATTAAAAAGCTATATACGATCCTATAAAATGAACTAAAGATAGTTATGCTATTATAAATTTATTCTACAGAAATTACTCTTTCTTAGTTCTTGTGTGCTTCTCTTTTGCACAAATTAGCTAACATATAGGACATAATTGTTCCTTGATTGTTCCAGAGCCGCCTTGAGATTGGTTGAAGTTGGAAAGCATCATGAAGGAAGAAGGAAGCCAATGAAGACAAGTTGTTGTGTGCCCAGCTCACTAGAACGGGGCTTGCTAACAGTATCCATTTCGTCCAAAAGCTCCTCTCTCTCTTACCTCTTATGTTTTCTAAAGTCTATACCATGTGAATTCCCCAAAGACAAATTAAATAGCAATATCTTAAGAAATTGATTGGATACATTTTTCTGAGTATTGCTGAGAAGGAGCAAGACTACTACTGGAATTGAGTGGTACCACTATTGTTAAAATAAGCTGGCATGGGGGTGGGTTTCCAACTTGATTATTTGCTGCCATGGATGAGAAGTTTGACTTTATGAGGAAGAAGTGTGGGACTACCTAAGAGTACTGGAAAAAAAAAAAAGGGAGGGAGGCTTTGAGGAGCAAAAGGGACAGGACACAGAAAGCTAGTCCTGATAGTTGGGAAACCAATAGGTGGAAAGCATCAAAGGATGACTCCAGAAGGAGGTGGAGACATGGAAATGATGTTATCAACAGGTACACATGTAAGTGAAGATGAAACAATATATCCAAAATGACAGCATCTGAGTATATTTAGTTACATGCTACCATGTGAAAGACAGGAGATGTTAGAGTTTGGTGATGGTGTGACTCGGGAATAACCATTAAAGAGAACAACTTGATCAAAATGGTCTGGTAGAGGGGGAGCATTTAGAAACTTGGAGAGTTAGATTGAGTGTTGTCTGCTTCCTATCCTAACCCCTACCCTCCAAATGTGTAGGGTTACAACCATTCATGCAAAGATAGGGCCTGGGGGGAACAGAATATTCTATCAGAGAGAATAGCAAATCCCAAAGCAGAAACAAGCTTGGCCTTTGAAGACTGGCAAAAAACAAAACAAAACAAAAAAAACTACTTCTCTGTACCTGGAATATAATGAGCAAAGGAATAAATTATAGGAGATAATGGCCAAAAAATAGAAAAAGATGATTGTAGGAGGGACGTCAAAGGATGTGAGTGCAAACTCTAGCCACTGCGTAGGTGGTGGTGGTAGGAATGCAGGAAGTTCTTTTCAGAATGCTTCCATCTTCTCAGTGAAGTAGGGATCAAGGTCGTCAACTGAGAATGAATATGGGGGGGGATGTGTCAGAGTTTAGAAGTGAGCAAGTGTGAAAAAGTCATTCAGGAGAATAGGAGAGTGAATGGACTAGGGAAATACAGTATGATACAAAGTCCTGTCAAGAGCCTGTTTCTGGTAAGATGACCAACTGTCCTAGTTTGACCTGGTCTCAGGGCTTTTCAGGGGCCTTGCTTTCAGTGCTAAAACTGGGATAGTCCTGAGCAAACCAGGCTGGTTGGTCACACTGGATCTTAGTCATAAACTGAGGGAAGTTGATGTTGGATGTTTGCTTTTCTGCAGCCATGAACAGCTACATGAGTGCAGGGTTAAATTAGGGAGAGAAAGTGAGACTTCAATCACAGTTACAGTATTGCCAAAGGATACATCAAACAGTATGATTCATCAATTGTACTTCTAGATACATAGCCAAAAGAATCAAAAGCAGAGTCTTAAAAAGATGTTTATATACTCACGTTCAAGGTGGCATTATTCACAATAGCACAAAGGCAGAAGCAGCCCAAGTGTCCTTGGACAGATAAATGGATAAATAAAAAGTGATATATACATACAATGGAATAACATTCAGCCTTAAAAAGGAAGGAAATTCTGACACATGCTACAACATGGATGAGCCTGAAGACACTGAGTTAAGTGAAAGAAGCCAATCACAAAAGACAAACAATGTATGGTTTACATGAGGTGGAATCTAGAAGAGTCAAACAGCCCTGGAATAGCTAAATTCACAAAGACAGAAAGGAGAAGGGTGGTTGTCAGGGGCTGGGGAAGCGGGGGTAGAGATTTATTAGTTAACGGGCGCAGACACTAAGTCAGCGAAACCATAGAACTGGGAAGTTGTGATCTGGGTGACGCGATTTCTGAGAAAGCAGGAAGAAGACACCATCAAGCCTCAGGAAAAGATATACCTTTGATCAGAGGCTGCCACCTCAGTGAGCTGCTGTCCCTGTCCACACAGCATCCTGCTCTCCACGCCGGGAGAAAGGTCACCCACTGAGCAGACAAGAGTGGCTGCTTCTCATAACTGTGCCTGGAGCAGGGAGAGGATCAGACTAGCTAGGTGAACAACCCCTTTCAAAAGGTCTTGTACAAATGGAGTCTTGGGTGCAGGAAACTGGATGATTAACAAGAGGAGGTACCTATACCAGTCCACTGAATATCTGAGTCCAGACAGGATTATTCTGGACTTAGCCAGTTTGAATTTTTTAAAGTGAGTGTACATGAGAACCCAGAGCAGACCCTCATCACTCCGTACCTTTCCCAGCAACAGCTGCTTCCTCCTCTTATGATTCCCCATGTCAGGCAGTAGCAGCTCCTGCCCCCCAGGTCCTTGCCTGAAATCTGAGTAATTTCCGTCTTGTCCCTTTTTTTCTGCCTTCCGTTGACATCGTCTCCTCTGTGAGTATTTCAGTCCCTCTGCAACTCCGGGGGCACTCCCGTGCGTCCTATGTAAAAGGTGTATTTTGGTATTGTGTCCGGTGGGATACTGCACTTTGAGTCCTTTGGCAGACAAGGCCACACACAGAGCCTGACATGCCCGAGGCAAATGGAAGAGGGGATCGGCAAGAATACAACGGACATAAAGATGAAACTTGCATTTCCAAGCACTGCCAAGGCTGAGCCTCAGTACAGTATCTGCCCAGACTCCAGGAACTGAATTTTATGTCATACTCTTATGAGATGAATGCATTTCAAATTTAAAACCGCAGCTCTGCACCTTTGCAGCATACTTGTGGAATAGAATCTAGCCAGGCATTTCTGCTATTAGAAAAGAATCCATTATTTATTTTGTATTTCATGCTCAGATTTTAATTTTTCAGATGAATCACTCTTTTTTTTTTTTCACTGAGATTAAAGTTACCCATTAGAGGAATAATTGGAGCCTGTATCTACTGGGGCCAAGAGGTTAAAGGCCAGTAGAAAAATCAGATCAAAGAAATAACTGCAGTGCTCATTTCAAATCCTCTAACTTTAATGTCTAACTTATCTACAGGCTACTACACTAGACGAGAGTCTTAAAGTGCATTTCCTTTATTTATAGTCATCATGGGAAGTCAATTTGTCGCTACTCTGGTCATGCACTGGAAAACTGTATAATGAACACTGATTTTCTTTGTGCCATGGTGGAGATGGATTACAGTGTCAAAATCAGGCCACTGTGGTTGTGATATTGTCCAATGCAATTCAGAAATTCCTGATTGACCTTCACATGATGAACAAATTTTTGCTGTTTCTCAGCATGATTTTCTGGGACTTTCACTAACTTGGCAATTTGCAATATTGATCAAGTCAGAGTTCTATTCAAGTATCTGCTACAAAATACCAAGTTGTGAATTTTTTTAAAGGTCAAGGTACAGTTTTTACCAGAGTACATTTTATGTAGATATTAAAGTCATTCTTTTTACTCACCCTCCTTAAATGTGTCTAAGATGGGCAGAGATTTGGGCAAACTCTGGGAGGGAGGAGCCTTTAGAGGACTGGCGTCCAGTGGGTTTAAGCCAGTGATCAGCATAGATGGAGAGCAGCTGGTGGGGACAAGGGTGTTGTTAGGAAGGTGGGCACATGAGGCAGAAAAGTCAGGGATGAAGCAGCTCTTCTTTGTGCAAAGCATTGAGAACCCCTCTCGCTCTTCCTTCCCACTAAGGCATTGTGTTAGGGATTGGTCTAAGAGACAGAAAACACATCAAAAAGTTGAATAGAAAAAGTTTAACATAAAGAATTATCAGGGGCTTTCAGCAATGAGGCACTGCTAGTTCAAGCCATGAGGATGCTACCACACACAGTAACAGCAGATACAGGAGCAGCCACTGCCCCTGGGGCTGAGACAGGGTACCCAGGAGAACGTCACATCTCTCAGGGTAGAGATGCAGACTTTCTGGAGAGGGCACAGTCCTGGCTCATGGATTACGTGAAGTTCACTGGAAATCTTCCCTCTGGAGGCTGGGAGAAGCCATAACTTAAGGGACTCAGAATTCTGCAGGCTGTGGCAGGGCCAGAGATGGTTAAAGGGGAGATGCCGTCCTGCCAGTACTTTGTGGAAAGATGCTGGACAATGGCCCTCCCGCAGGAAGCTCATGGTGGGGGTGGGGTGGGATGGGGTGCTGAGAAGCCAGTCTCAGAGACTGGTGGCTGACACACACCATTCTGGACACTCAGCTGTGCTGTCTCCTGAAGGGAGCATACTGGGGGAGCTGCTGCAGATGGAGGTCACTTGCTGCTGGCTGCTCGGTATTTCTGAAAAAATTTCTGCAGGAGCTCAACAAACTGAATATGGTAGACCAGGCGGAGAAACCTCTTCCTCCTCCAGCATCCCTCTTCTGACAGAGTCAGAACCCTGGGCCAGCTGGCAATGGAGAGAGATTTACAGAACTCTACTCTAATACTGCAGCGCATGGAAGGAAAAGTGAATTTGGGGCTGAGAGGTAATAAAGCGATAACTCACACCGTGCTCTAGTTATCTCCCACCACCTCCCATTCCCTGCATGTGGGTGACCCTGTGCGCCTTGCTTCCCCGGGGAAATTCTATCTAAACTAAAACATTTTCTGCAATGTGCCTTCTTTTGTGCTTAAATCCAACTATGAGATTCAAAGTCTCTTAATGAAGAAAAAGACTTAGTGCACAGCATAACATGCCCTGCACATAAAACAACTCCAGCCCTGTGCCAGGTGTCATTTCTTTGGACAAGCCCTCACAGCAATACCTAGAGACTGATCTGCGGCTCTGGTAGAGAACAGCAAGAAAGCAATTTAGAAGAGCAATAATAAAATGGATGGTGGCAGCCAGTCTATTCACAGGGAATTACCATAAATATACTTGCCATTTTAGTTTTCTGGAGTGTTTCCTTTGTAATTACATGGAGGTCTCTAAGGAACGCTAGTTTCTTTATCACCTCCTTCAAATTACGTCTGTAGAAGACCAGGCAAATAGTTATTTAGGTCAGCATAGTTTTCATATTTATTTTCCACATATATTTAACAACACGAAAAGAAAGGCACTTCATTTTAACACACACAAAAAAACTGAAATCTAGCCTTTTTAATAGGATTCTAGGCAATTGAAATCAAACCAGAACCAACACTTCTTCATCGGCTTGGCGAAGAGTTTACTTCTTTGGCAGATTTGGGAGATTTGCTGGTGTGTTATTTTCTTAGCTAAAGGTTTCCCCTCTCTGCACCCTGCTCCAACATACCCACATGCCCACAAAACAGTACAGGTGTAATAGTCAATGTTTCTGATAAGAAACCTACGCATGCAGACAGCGCTCAGACACTGCATAGTTCAGTGCCCTAGAAAAGCTACAAGGAGGCAGGAGAGCTGGAGCTGATGATTCCACATGAACTGGGAATCTCTGGCCTGTATAATGATTGCCTCATCCACCCTCTTTGCTTTCACTACTCCTGAAGAGGATAAAGAAGATAATCCAGAATGAAGGCAGAAGCAGCAATTTTTTCTTTGTTTAGAAGGGAATTTGGCTAGCATCTTTCAAACATGAAATAGGACCCATGAGAGTGCTGTTCAAAATAATCAGCACATAGCAATAAAGAATGGTAGTCCTTAGCACCTAAAAGCATGGTAGAGTTAATGTTACATATATTTTACCAAAAAAAAAAAAAAAAGCAGTGAAAATGTAGGCAGCTGAAAAAAAAAAAGTGGGGGGATATTTTTATCATGGTGGTCTCCAGGCAGTTAATAATAATGTTATTTTTCTGGATTTTGTGATGTTTGTGGTTTTGTCAACATCTTTAAATCTGTAATGATTCCTCTTCTCATTCTGAATATTCACTTTATTAAGAGAAAGTATGGATTAAACACCATCAGGAAACTGAGAAACAGA